CGACCATGTTACTGCTGCGACCATGTCCTCGACACAATATTCACCCTGCTTCCAACTGTTCTAATCAATGAAAACGCATTATATACAGCATGTACAATAGGGAACTAAATTCGGAGAATGTGGAGGAGGATTGTGCGCGTCAGCTTGAAATAATTCAACCTTCATTACCCAACATTTGCAACTTCACAAACGAATGTGGCAGTGAGACAAAATTAAAACCTATGAGAAAGCCTACACAGTACACATGAGATCATACAGAAGACGTGCTGTAAAACAACAAAATGAAGATATTAGCATATCGCACAACAGCAAAATCAAAGCCTAACAAAAAGTTCAACGGGTTAGACAAACAAGGCACAGAATGAATGAAAATAGTTTGTGATTGTCCTTTTTTACTCACTTCATTGGACATGTCATTAACAATCGCAAGATATCAAAGTGATCCTCTGCAGGGCACTAAGGAGCCACAGAAAACTTTTGAAAAAATTTCTGGCTAAAACAACAGCACTTTCATGCTGCAACGGCCGAGCATCGCCCGGAAGCGCACCGATAAACAGCACTGAAGCCCTGCTGGTCCCCTCTGGCTTGCAACTCCGGAGTTTCCTCAAAGCGACCCACTACGCCTTAGCGCGACTTCTGCCTTCAATACCAGGGCGGCTTCTCGCTTCGACTTGACCGAAACATTCTTAGTTATTTTGCCATTATTAGCGACCTTCACCATAGTTTCCTTTGGTGGTGCACGAACAAACTTTTCCAGCTGTTGATTGAACAGCACCGCTTGAGCCCAACCAGCATACTACGTGCCGAATTTGTCTCCATAGAATTCCACTGAAACAGCAAATTCTGGTACGACGACAAGAACTTCTGTGGGTAAGCAATAGAAACACAGATATTTCTCCAGAGAACGTTTCACAAGAATGCTGGGTTGTGAACAAAACTTTCGCCCCAGGCGGGACTAGAACCCGCACCTCTCGCTTTCCGGGCAAGTGCGCTACCAGTTACGCTACCGGGGCACCATTTCATCCCAACTCAGCTTTTCATGGTATACGTACCATAGCTTTCAGCACTCACACGTCTAACGTGTTGAGCCGGTTAGCCGATATCGGCAATGACCGCGAGGCTGAAAGCTTTAGCAATGAATTTTGACTTGTTTTGTTTGTTAACTGCTGTTTTAACGCCGCAGTTCGCGTTGCGAATGTTTCACAAGAATGCTGGGTTGTGAACAAAACTTTCGCCCCAGGCGGGACTAGAACCCGCACCTCTCGCTTTCCGGGCAAGTGCGCTACCAGTTACGCTACCGGGGCACCATTTCATTCCAACTCAGCTTTTCATGGTATACGTACCATAGCTTTCAGCACTCACACGTCTAACGTGTTGAGCCGGTTAGCCGATATCGGCAATGACCGCGAGGCTGAAAGCTTTAGCAATGAATTTTGACTTGTTTTGTTTGTTAACTGCTGTTTTAACGCCGCAGTTCGCGTTGCGAATGTTTCACAAGAATGCTGGGTTGTGAACAAAACTTTCGCCCCAGGCGGGACTAGAACCCGCACCTCTCGCTTTCCGGGCAAGTGCGCTACCAGTTACGCTACCGGGGCACCATTTCATTCCAACTCAGCTTTTCATGGTATACGTACCATAGCTTTCAGCACTCACACGTCTAACGTGTTGAGCCGGTTAGCCGATATCGGCAATGACCGCGAGGCTGAAAGCTTTAGCAATGAATTTTGACTTGTTTTGTTTGTTAACTGCTGTTTTAACGCCGCAGTTCGCGTTGCGAATGTTTCACAAGAATGCTGGGTTGTGAACAAAACTTTCGCCCCAGGCGGGACTAGAACCCGCACCTCTCGCTTTCCGGGCAAGTGCGCTACCAGTTACGCTACCGGGGCACCATTTCATTCCAACTCAGCTTTTCATGGTATACGTACCATAGCTTTCAGCACTCACACGTCTAACGTGTTGAGCCGGTTAGCCGATATCGGCAATGACCGCGAGGCTGAAAGCTTTAGCAATGAATTTTGACTTGTTTTGTTTGTTAACTGCTGTTTTAACGCCGCAGTTCGCGTTGCGAATGTTTCACAAGAATGCTGGGTTGTGAACAAAACTTTCGCCCCAGGCGGGACTAGAACCCGCACCTCTCGCTTTCCGGGCAAGTGCGCTACCAGTTACGCTACCGGGGCACCATTTCATTCCAACTCAGCTTTTCATGGTATACGTACCATAGCTTTCAGCACTCACACGTCTAACGTGTTGAGCCGGTTAGCCGATATCGGCAATGACCGCGAGGCTGAAAGCTTTAGCAATGAATTTTGACTTGTTTGTTTGTTAACTGCTGTTTTAACGCCGCAGTTCGCGTTGCGAATGTTTCACAAGAATGCTGGGTTGTGAACAAAACTTTCGCCCCAGGCGGGACTAGAACCCGCACCTCTCGCTTTCCGGGCAAGTGCGCTACCAGTTACGCTACCGGGGCACCATTTCATTCCAACTCAGCTTTTCATGGTATACGTACCATAGCTTTCAGCACTCACACGTCTAACGTGTTGAGCCGGTTAGCCGATATCGGCAATGACCGCGAGGCTGAAAGCTTTAGCAATGAATTTTGACTTGTTTTGTTTTGTTAACATTCGCAACGCGAACTGCGGCGTTAAAACAGCAGTTAACAAACAAAACAAGTCAAAATTCATTGCTAAAGCTTTCAGCCTCGCGGTCATTGCCGATATCGGCTAACCGGCTCAACACGTTAGACGTGTGAGTGCTGAAAGCTATGGTACGTATACCATGAAAAGCTGAGTTGGAGGAAATGCCCCCGTAGCGTAACTGGTAGCGCACTTGCCCGGAAAGCGAGAGGTGCGGGTTCTAGTCCCGCCTGGGGCGAAAGTTTTGTTCACAACCCAGCATTCTTGTGAAACATTCGCAACGCGAACTGCGGCGTTAAAACAGCAGTTAACAAACAAAACAAGTCAAAATTCATTGCTAAAGCTTTCAGCCTCGCGGTCATTGCCGATACCGGCTAACCGGCTCAACACGTTAGACGTGTGAGTGCTGAAAGCTATGGTACGTATACCATGAAAAGCTGAGTTGGAATGAAATGGTGCCCCGGTAGCGTAACTGGTAGCGCACTTGCCCGGAAAGCGAGAGGTGCGGGTTCTAGTCCCGCCTGGGGCGAAAGTTTTGTTCACAACCCAGCATTCTTGTGAAACATTCGCAACGCGAACTGCGGCGTTAAAACAGCAGTTAACAAACAAAACAAGTCAAAATTCATTGCTAAAGCTTTCAGCCTCGCGGTCATTGCCGATACCGGCTAACCGGCTCAACACGTTAGACGTGTGAGTGCTGAAAGCTATGGTACGTATACCATGAAAAGCTGAGTTGGAATGAAATGGTGCCCCGGTAGCGTAACTGGTAGCGCACTTGCCCGGAAAGCGAGAGGTGCGGGTTCTAGTCCCGCCTGGGGCGAAAGTTTTGTTCACAACCCAGCATTCTTGTGAAACATTCGCAACGCGAACTGCGGCGTTAAAACAGCAGTTAACAAACAAAACAAGTCAAAATTCATTGCTAAAGCTTTCAGCCTCGCGGTCATTGCCGATATCGGCTAACCGGCTCAACACGTTAGACGTGTGAGTGCTGAAAGCTATGGTACGTATACCATGAAAAGCTGAGTTGGAATGAAATGGTGCCCCGGTAGCGTAACTGGTAGCGCACTTGCCCGGAAAGCGAGAGGTGCGGGTTCTAGTCCCGCCTGGGGCGAAAGTTTTGTTCACAACCCAGCATTCTTGTGAAACATTCGCAACGCGAACTGCGGCGTTAAAACAGCAGTTAACAAACAAAACAAGTCAAAATTCATTGCTAAAGCTTTCAGCCTCGCGGTCATTGCCGATATCGGCTAACCGGCTCAACACGTTAGACGTGTGAGTGCTGAAAGCTATGGTACGTATACCATGAAAAGCTGAGTTGGAATGAAATGGTGCCCCGGTAGCGTAACTGGTAGCGCACTTGCCCGGAAAGCGAGAGGTGCGGGTTCTAGTCCCGCCTGGGGCGAAAGTTTTGTTCACAACCCAGCATTCTTGTGAAACATTCGCAACGCGAACTGCGGCGTTAAAACAGCAGTTAACAAACAAAACAAGTCAAAATTCATTGCTAAAGCTTTCAGCCTCGCGGTCATTGCCGATATCGTCACGCTCAACCTACTTTGAGTGCTGAAAGCTATGGTAACGTATACATGAAAAGCTGAGTTGGAATGAAATGGTGCCCCGGTAGCGTAACTGGTAGCGCACTTGCCCGGAAAGCGAGAGGTGCGGGTTCTAGTCCCGCCTGGGGCGAAAGTTTTGTTCACAACCCAGCATTCTTGTGAAACATTCGCAACGCGAACTGCGGCGTTAAAACAGCAGTTAACAAACAAAACAAGCTCTAGAGAGATTGAGAGTTGATCACGAAACTTTCAGATTCAATCCTAAAGTCCTTCAACAACACATCATTCTCAATGCATTTAAGCTTGATCTGAACTAAGATCCCTTCTGTGAGCACTGGGTTCCCCCATTTAGTATAAAGGATGAGTGGATGCCGAACTGCAGTTTTCAGTTACATTCCTAAAAGCTACATCTTCCTAATGCCTAGGGTTGTGACATGGCTGCCACGAAATATAACTACTACCTTTTGGGTGCCCGAACGTTTCCTCTCTTATAAATATTGAAGGAATCGGAAAGACCACGGACAATTTCGTGAGCCAACTTGAGCCGATTTATTGGTGAATAGGGCGCTTTGGTGCTGATCTCACACATTTGGGTAATATCTTCTGTAAGTCGTAGACTCACCTCATTAACAAGTGAGCTTCAGCGGCCAACATCACCCGATTACGTCATAGTTGAATACAATGAAAAGAATCAAAGATCTGTAGCAATTAACAACAGAGAGTAGCGCTGGGTGTACTGGCCGGAAGCAGTGCTCACTGCGGTGAAATCACGATCTGTGATTGTGAAAGTGAGGTAAAACGACCACAGGCAAACTCACTCAGGCGACGACTCAAAGTGTTTGTCAGGGTTCGAGTCTTTCAAAGACGGGAGGTAGTACTTCTTAGTTATCTGAAAATAACATAGTAAAGTCATGAAAACGTAGCATACCGTCGGACTGTGAAGAACTTACTTCAAAGACATGCCGATCAATTGGAACGCATTGGTGCTGTTTGAGAGACATGAGTGCCACACATTCAGCAACCTAGAAATGTTCCTTGGCATAACTCCCAAGCAGAGCTACTGATTTATTTGAACATCTGAGCTCTTGGCACAGGCGCAAAGTGGTCACTGCTTGAAGTGACTCTGCGTGCGCATCTACCTACCACACTCACTCACACCAGGTAGTCGTCACAGTATATGGGTCAGGTGTTCATGGCACCTAAAGTAGTCCGACTTCGCAACTGTTGTCGCAAAGTGGGACTACTACCTTAGACTGCAGGCTTTTATGCAACATGAGACTCCTACTGTGGTTACTTACCTTCGGGCCAACTCCTGCAAAATTCAGAAGAAATTTTCGAATTTCGTCGGTTGGCAAATGTTGCAATTCCACGAGACACGTACTGGACATTTCACTTAGTTGTGTGACTGTTCCGCTGAAAATGTCTAATCACTTCTGGGAAAAACCGCATTATTAGATTGTTAACAAAAGAAAACGGGAACATCAAATGAACATGAACGTCAGCAGCGGTCACCGAGTTGAAGAGGTGGTTAGTGTGGGAGATTCGTCTGTAATTGGTGCCACACAAACCCACCAATCACAGAAGTCTTACTCACGCTTCACAAGTTTACAGCGAAAGGCTTAGCGAAAGGCTATTGACTACATAGCATCATTCACAAAATTTGGTGTGCAGACTCACCTTATACTTTTAGCCCTATATCCGAAGAGATGTTCTCGAAGCACTTTCTCAAGTTGATCCTTTTGTACGCAGCTCAACTGTGATAAAACGGGAAAAGCATAGCCTAATTCAGGGAAACGACTTAGCACTTCTTTGCCAT